CACAGAGGTGTCAATCTTTTTTTCCCCATTGTGCTTAGACATTAAATATTGCGGTTAAACAAATCCAGCAATTTTATTTGTTTTGTATGTTAACAAATTCTCTTTCCTAAAAATACAGTTAAAAGTATACCCAAAGTGTAAAACTATCAAGGTAAATACCAGGGCGATTCTTGGGTTGCAAATTCAGCATTGGTTGACAGTGATGATGTGATTCGTAGCTTTCCAGAGCTATCATAGTATATAACGTAACCTTAAACACCATTTTCCCTTAAGGACTCTGTTCTTTTGGATCAAGACAATGAGAAATTTCTAAGCGTGCGGGGGACCACTCGCTTACTCGTGCACAACGTGTCCCTGGAGGACGCGGGCTATTACAGCTGTGCCACCACCTTTGCCCAGGAAGGCAGGCAGTACGACGTCACCAGGAACATTGAACTGCGCGTCCACAGTGAGTACCTGCTGCTGCGGGACTTTCCACCCTGGTTCAATAGGAAGCGTGTGGAGAATGCAGCAGGGTTCACAAGAAATTCCTTGAATGTGTCTGGAATGAAGGGCAAAGGCAAAATGATACCCCGACTTTCCTGAAGTATCAGGCTAATACGACGAGTGTGATACTCTGAAAGGTTGTTATGAAGGGACAGAATCCCTGGGCAGTTGACAGGGTTCAAGGACTGAGGCTACAACACGCCGCTAGAGGGGGCTGAACAATGGTTTCCTTGGAAGGTGCCTTTGGGAAGTCCCCTGTGGAAGGCTGGCACCTACAGGGCCAGCTATCAGAACACAGTAGCCGAAACTTTATGTAAGTTTCTAGGATACTAGGAATTTATTTGGTTTCTCAACCAGGAGGCATATACAGTGGAAATCGCACACACGCACACACGCACGCACACACATGCACAGACACGCACAGACACGTGCACACAGACACGCACACACATGCACAGACACGCGCACACACAGACACGCACACGCATGCACACACATGGACACACACAGACGCGCGCGTGCACACACACCCACGCACAGATATGCACACACTCGCTCACACACGCACGCACACACAGACACATGCACACACACAGAGACACGCAAGCGCACACACACAGACACGCACAGACACGCACACAGACACGCACACGCATGCACACACACAGACACGCACACTCATGCACACACACAGACACGCACACGCATGCACACACACAGACATGCACACACACAGACACGCGCACACACACACGCACACACACACACACACACACACCCCGCTTTTTTTGTCTCCCCTGTGGTCTAGTTGCCCTTGATACCAGGATTTCAGATGGTGACGGCTCTCGTTGATTTAAATGAATTATACATGAAGATTGCGTCGTAAACAGTGTCGGCTACTGTTGAACCTAAGTTCAGCATTGACTCGGTGCCTCCTACGTGACAGACAAGGAACCAAGCGCAAGGGTGTAAAAGTGTGCGCGTCCTCGGCTCC